AGTTTAAACACTGGAGCTCAAAAGCAATCGGCCAACAGTGTTAGACACTCAGAAATGATTTAAAGATGTTATACTGGTGAAGACTGACATCTAGTGGTCAACTGGAGCAACTATATGGAAAACGTCCTAATCCAGGTAGAAAAAAATCAAAAAGAAAAAAATCAGTAGGTCCTCTGGACGGATTCTTCTTTAGTGAAACGTTTCATCTCTCCTTCAAGAGACTTCTTCAGTCTGATGAGTTTCAGGTGAACTGGGAAACTTTAAAATCCAATAGAAACATGAAAACGTTTTAAATCCAAGCTCTTATTTTGAAGGGAAGATACTAGTTTCCTGTTCCCCATGCTTTCGTTTCCCATCAGTTTGTCATGTACCCAGAATGCATCGCTTCAGTTTTCCAATAAACAGTTTTAAAATTACTTTATTGATGCTTCTTTAATGAAAAATCTACAACATATAGAAGAAAAAGACAAAGAAGCAGCCGAACTAGTAATCCTCATCAAGTTTTTAAAGAATCGGCCGAACTAGCAAGCCTCAACAACTTTTTAATTTTTACACCAGTAGCCAAAGGTCTGTTTCAGGAAATCACATCCCCAGCAATCGGCGGTTGTAGAATTAAGTTGTAAAAGAGTTCATACACCACTAGTTGGCAGTGTTGTGCATATATTGTACATGAATTTTCAGCTAGTAAGTGTCAAATTGAACTTGCGCTTTAAAATTAGCTTCCGCTAGTTTTTCCACGGCATAAGCRGCTTTGAAGTTGCGGACCTAAATATTTTTATAAGCGCTTTAGAAATTGCGGAGCTAATTTTTAGATTAACTCTGACCACCACTGCTGGTTATGTTATAAAGCACTCACCTCTCTGAAGATGATCTTAAACTGTTTGCTCTCTCTACCGCCCTGCTGCCTCCTCTGCCATGTCTGACGAGCTACCAGGGTGATGTCGTTACCCTAAGGGAGCAACAGAAAAAGGGGATGGGGGTGGGTGTCTATTAATCCAACAAATCCACTTAGGAGTTACAGAAAACATCACATGAGCTCGAGGACGTACTCACAATAATTTGGACATCAGCATCTTCAAGTTGTGTTCCTCTTGGACCAGCCACATAGGAAATGGTGTATTTCAGTTTACCACCATAAGAACCAACCTGAAAGATGGTAAAGCATGTAGATGCATCTTTATTTTAAAATCAGTGAAAGAGGAGACAGAGATGCTGTAATACTGTATATAATAATGTATGTAAGAGACACACTGGAAGATAACCACATTTTGAATCAGAATCAGCTTTATTGGCCAAGTGTGTTGACACACACACAAGGGATTTGTTTCCAGCAGATGATGTCTCTCCGATACACATACATACAATATACACAGTGATGGAAGCACATCATAAGACATAAACATTATAGTCTGTGAATTACATACAAGTATATATACATTTTATGTTCAGTAAGCGTACACAGGGTGAGTGTGTGGTAAAAAGGGGAGGTTAAGCACTAGTTAGCCGGTCTAGTGTTTGGGATTATTTATCAGGGAGATAGCCTGGGAGAAGAAGCTGAAACACAGAAACACAGACATTTTGCTGATAATAATGAAAACTGGTAAAAAATAATATAAATATGTTGTGTTATGAGCCCAATATTTTTAACTATGGAACAGGATTCAGTGTGTTTAAAAGAAATGCACACCCTCCCACCAAAAAACAAAAATAAAAAAGCATATTTTTGCTGTAGTGATAATAAGGGAACTTTGATGTTTTTCTTTTTTCTGTAGTTTTTTGTTTCACTCCTTTCTTCTAACTTTTAAAAATAATCCTGATCAATAGTTCTCTAAGCTTACTGAAGGTTTTCCAAAGATTTTCATTAGTCATCATCATCATCATCATCATCTTTATTTATAAAGAGCTTTAACAGCAGCCACAAAGTGCTGAACATCAGTGATAAATAAGATAAAGAAAAACCTAAAACTAAAGTTAGCAGWGTGCTTTGGCTCATTGTCCTGCTGCTGCTCTTTACTTCAGCCTTCAGAGGAGTCGGACGTGCTTTTGCTCTCTCCTGAACTGCATGGCCCACCACTGCAGCACTGTACGTTTCTTTCTTTTTTCCCATGTTGGCCATCCCAGCTCTGTTACGACCTTGCTTGGTGGCACAGAGGTGCATCGGGGTGGGCTGATTTTAACCCTCATCGCCTCAAATCACTCAAGACACAATGAAGTGGCCAGAACTAGGGCTGCCACAAATGATTATTTTTATAATCGATTAATCACCGATTATTTTTTCAATTAGTCGACTAATTGGATCATACGTTAATTGAATATAAACATCCAGCTTATCGCGCCAGAATGCAGCTGCTATTATATAACCATGGTTAGATTTTAGCTATATGCTAACTAAAAATAATTGCTGTGGAAGGTAAGTTCTGCTCTGCA